AGAAATCCTATAGAATAAAAGTCTAATATGAAAATCAACTGAATAGTGGAACGACCAGTTGCTATGATGCGCACCAACCACCAGGGGGCAGACACTCAATGCAGGAGCTGCCCCCTGGTGGTCAGTGCGCTCCCACAGGGGAGTGCCGCTTAGCCAGAAACCAGGCTCACGGCTGGAGAGTGCAAGGGGCGGTGGGGGAGCCTTTCCCATCTCCATGGCAGCGATAAGGATGTCTAACTGCGAGAGGGCGCAGGCTGGGCTGAGGGACACCCCCCCCCCCCCCCCGCCAGTGCACGTGTTTCGTGCACCGGGCCTCTAGTTTAGGATAAGATAAAGGGAACATTGTTTCATCAGGACATAAAAGACTTGATAGTCATCTGGAAAAGATATAAAGTCAGCTTCCTACTACAATTTTAACCCAAATAAATTACAAATAGATCAAAGAACTATACGTAAAAAGGATGTTTATTGTGGTGCCGTTTGTAATGGCAAAATGACTGGAAAACACCTAAATTTTCATCTTGAGGGGATTTCTTAAATAAATTCTAGTTTATTTGTACAGTGAAGTTCTATGCAGCTACTAAAAAGAAGAGGCGGGTGAGGCACAGTTGGCTGAGCGTTGTCCCATGCACCAGGAGGTCCCTGGTTGTATTCCCGGTCAGGACATATGTCGGGGTTGTGGGCTCCATCCCCTGTAGGGGCATGCAGGAGGCAGCCAATCAATGTTTCTATCTCTCCCTCTTCTTTCCTCTCTTTGAAATCAATTTAAAAAAACAGAGTTTTTTTTTAAGAGGCTGCTCTACATGTACAATATATCGAAGATGGATTTTTAAAAATATATATATTTTATTGATTTTTTACAGAGAGGAAGGGAGAGGGATAGAGAGCTAGAAACATCGATGAGAGAGAAACATCAATCAGCTGCCTCCTGCACACTCCCTACTGGGGATGTGCCCGCAACCAAGGTACATGCCCTTGACCGGAATTGAACCTGGGACCCTTGAGTCCGCAGGCTGACGCTCTATCCACTGAGCCAAACCGGTTAGGGCCAAAGATGGATTTTTAAGTAAGAAAAGGAAGGAGCAGAATAGTGTGTAGGGTACTTCCATTTATGGTTTTAGTAAAAGAAAGAGGGAAGAAAAGAAAATGTATTCATATATGCACACAAGAAGTACAGACAACATCTCTGGTAGAATACACAAAAACTGGCCATGGAGGTTACTTCCAGGGAGGGGGTCAGGTGGGGGCCAATGAGGGGGATGGAAGCTAAATTCTCATAATTCATGTATTTGTCCCTTTGGGATTATTTTATTAGGTGGATAGATAATACTCTAGTCAAAATGGTTGATTAACCTAAGCCTATCTTGTTTTCTCATCAAAATGAAGTTCATAAATCCTGCCTCACAGGCCTGCCGTAAGGGCTGGATCTGGTCATGTGAGCGAGAGCCTAGCATTGCACCTGGTACAGGTAACTGTCCCCCCACCGCCACTTGAGTTATCTAGACAACCTGGGAGTTGCCTTCAAGTACCCACTGATACAGAATGGCATTTTTCCCATTTCCCTCTTGGCGTTAGAGTGTAGCGATAATAAGAGTTGGCAAAAGGGAAGTACTTTGTCCTCCACAAAAGAGTGATTTCTAATAGGTCACTCTTGTGCCTACAGAATTCCACCACCAACACCAACGTCACCAACCCCTGTTACCCTCGGAATTACGTCACCACCTTCACCGCGGGCCACCTCTTTGACAGCCTGTGCACGGAGGAGCTGAGGCCTGGAGGTTATGACCCCGATGACACCATCACTTTTGAAGGAACCGGGGACCCATTACTCTGTCGGGTGAAGGTGGCTTCCCTCTTTGCCTTCAGAGCTTGCCACGACCGAGAGATCTGCTGCTTTGACGTGGTTTATCAGCCGGAAGTTAAAGGATCTTTTGTGGTAAGAGCAGCAACCACAGAAAGATTCCTGGTTTTTTTTCCCATTGCATATTTATTTCTCACCTTTCCGTTTCTCTTCTGCTGACCTGCCTCCTGCTTTTATTACCTGCCCTAACACCTCCATGGTCTGTCCCACTCTGAGACACGCTGTCCTTCTGTTCCGCTTCCTCCCAGGCCTTTGCGGGATTCTTCTACACAGCCAACGCGTTAAACCTCTCGGGCAGCTTTTCCCTGAACGCCTTCAACTCCAGCACCTGGGATTTCTGCTCACAGGACTGGAGTCAGGTCAGTGTGTAAGGAGAAAGGAGCAACAGCGACACCCACAGCAGAGCAGGGTATATTCATTGTGCGCAGGAGTGCATATGTTCTGAATTTCGCCCTATGCTGTTCTGCTTTTAACCCCCAAAATGGGGCTATCAGGGAGCCATATCTGTGCCATGAACTAATGTTCTGACCACAGGCGCAGTGGTTAGAACCGTGTCGGGCACATGATAAGCACCCTGTACGCTTAGAGATTGTTCTTACATGATGATGTTCTAGGGATATTTTTAATATTATATCATTGCGTTTCTTAATGCAGGAGGCAGCTGATTGATGGTTCTTTCTCATTGATGTTTCTTTCTCTCTGCCTTCTTCTCTCTCTCTCTCTCAAATCAATTTTTAAAAAACATTAAAATTTTTAAAAAATTTTTAAAATAAATATGAAATGCTGGGTGATACAATTTTTTCAGCTAGTCCTTTGGTCCTAAGGTGTTCCAAAATGTGCATTTTAAAACCTGCCTGCCCGCCTTCCCCTCCCTGCTTTGACCTTCTCAGCTCCCGCTGCTGCTGCCCCGGTTTGATGAGGTGTACGCCCGCTCCTACTGCTTCTCGGCCCACTATATCTACCACTTGCTCGTGAGTGGGTACAAATTCACCGAGGACACCTGGCCCCAAATACATTTTAAAAAAGAGGTAAGTCAGAGCACAAGTCTTTTCCTCCTCTTCCTCTCAAAATAGAGAGGTTCCTTTGATCCCCAGGGACCTCCCAGGAGGGATGAGGAAGAATTGGGAAGTGGAGTTCACCACAGACCCTTCCCCTTGAGCAAAGCATTGGAAGCCAAGGACCCGTGGGCTCTGAGTTCCTCCAGGGCAGGACTTGTGTGACCCTCGTATTCCTAGCACTCCATTCAGCACACGGGCGAGAACCTGGAAGATGCTTAGTAAATGTTTGTTGAGTGAATGAATAAATATGTTAAGGATTTCATCCTAACATATTTTCATTCTAAAAAGAAGCCTCAAATAGAACAGTTTGTTTTTTAAAAAAAGAGGATGGTTTTTAAAACAAAGCCCTGGCTAGTGTTGCTCAGTTGGTGGAGCGCCATCCCATGTACTGAGAGGTCACTGGTTCTATTCCTGGTCAGGGCACAAGCCCTGGTTATGGGCTCAATCCCCAGTAGGGGTCATGCAAGAGGCAGCCAATTGATGATTCTCTCATCAATGTTTCTCTCTCCCTCTCCCTTCCTCTCTCTCTTTAAAATCAATTTTAAAAAATTTTTAAAAAGAGGGTAGTAACTAATCAATCGCTCTCCATGTACGCAGATGTCAGAGTAAGATACAGGCTTTAGAGCTTGAGGGGTTAAATAGAATTTTCTCTCTGAATGAGCCTGAGGCACTGTGTTTACTGTCAAGAGTCCAGCATGGGCCAAAGCTGGAACCCCAGCTGTTCCCAGGTGATTGCGGTGATGGGGCCTCGGACCTTGCTTTCGGGCAGCGGCAGCCTTGCTGACATGCCCATCCAGCACTATGTTCCCGGGTTCTGGGAGGCTTGTCTGGGTTCAGGAAGAGCTGGTGTAAAGCCTGAAGTATATCTGGAGTCAGTCTGTTCGGTATGAGCTTTGGCTAATTAGATTAAACCAATCAACATCTGGCATTAGGCCTGTGACTGGCTATTTTTACATCAATGAAATTGAATCATCTACAAGAAATAAGGATGTCTGGGAACATATAAGGATTGTTGTGGGCATGTCCTCTCCTGGCGTGACTTCATGATCTAATTATCAGGAAAGTACATGATGAGAATGGAGAATGACTTCCCACTGAGTACCCGCTTGGATGCACACAGAATTCTAGGTGTCAAGTTCCTTTCCTTTATTCATAAAGAATCTTATATCTAGCCAAATTAGTATCTGAATGTGAGGGCCTAAAAAGACTGCAGAAGATTGGCTGCACAAAGACTGAACATCAAAACTATATTTGGAGGAAGTAATGAAATAAGACTAGAAATAAATCCAGATGTTATAAAAATATGTGAAGTAAGAATAAATAGTGTTGTGGCTTAAAATGTATGTTTTTTAAAAAAGAAAACTAGCACCAAATAAAAAAGGAAAAGAGAAGAATTCATCCGTACACCAGAGAAACCCAGAATTCAAGTATAGCTAAAATTCAGTGTGATGGGGATGGGGCCAGGGGGTCATAGGATACAGGCACATTCGAGTGGCCTAAAATGCTAATTTTTTAAAGGGAACATGCACACAATTTATAAGGCAAGAAAGGAAAAAAATAAATATAGGAAAAAAGCACCAATTGAAAATTTTAAAGTAAGGTATTAGAAATCCAAATATATCAACCATTACAATAATCCATAAATGGACCAAACCTACCAGTTAAAAGACAGACATTGTCAGACCTGATTTTTAAAAATCAAATATATGTAATTTATAAGAGAAACACTTAGGCTTCACACATCAGGATTTGGAAAGATTGAAAGTTAAAAAAAAAAAAAGAAAAAGGTTTTTTAAAAAACTGTCAGGCAAACATCACCCAGAAGAAAAACTGCTGTAGCTATTTAATATCTGAAAACAATAGTCTTTAAGATAAAGAGCATCATTCACGATAGAGAGGATTACAACAGAAAGACAAAAAGTTCATTTCATCATGAAGATTGCAAATTTGAAATATTTGTCCATCTAATAAAACAACCTAAAAATGTGCAAACCAAAAATTGATTGAATTTACCAGAAGAAACTGACAAACCCTGTTTCTTAGAAACTGGCCCTTGGCTTAGCGAACACACATTACCTTCCTTCTTTAGCCGCTGATACTGTACAGCCGGCAACAGACAATGGTTCACTGTCATCAACTCTGCCTCTTCCCACTTGGCCGTGGCGAGGTTGTGGGGACTAGTTCTGCCTTGCCTCTACGGTGCTGGAGTTAGGGCCCTCGAGCCTTTGGGGGTCCCAGTGACTTGGATTGTAGCCCAGCCTCTGCAGTGTCTGAACTTGGGCAAGTCCTTTGACCTCTTTTCCAGTGGGTGTTTCCTGCTGGTGGCAGTGGTGTGCCCCAGGTATGGCATTCCCACCTCAGCCCCTGCCCTGAGAACTCAACCATCTCCTCTACTTCACAGGTGGACAATAGCAGCATAGCCTGGTCTCTTGGCTACATGCTCACCCTGACCAACCAGATCCCAGCCGAAATCCCCCTGATCCGCCTGCCCATGAAGCCACCTACCTTTATGAGCGTCCTCGCCTTCTTCACGGGAGTGGCCTTGCTGTGCCTGGCATTCCTGGTGTACCTGTATGCGTTGTCTAGGAATCAGAGGCGTTCCCAGCATGCCTTGGACCATGCAGTGGATTCCGAGTGAGCCGAGTGAGCAGCTGCAGGAGCTCGAGGGCTGCCCAGGTCCAGCCTGGGTGACACCAGACAATGCGAGTGAAATGCCCATCTGCGGGAAACACAACCACAGTCAAATACTTAGGTCGTGCGCCCCTCAGATACGAAGTATGCCAAAGCACCTCTTGGGGAGCCCCTCAACTGTTCCTTGCACACTGCTCCTCAGAGACCCCACCACCCAATGCTGGCCCCCTGGGGAACAGGAGAGACAGGCCCTCAAGGCCGGCTCTTTATTCCAGGGCCCCAGAGGAAGAGGAAGCAGAGATTATGACAGTTCCATGTTGAAGAATTGACCTCAGGGCACATTTTGCATCCTGTCCTCCCTTAGAAATGCCGTATTCCTCCTGGCAGATGCCCACTAAGCATTTGACCCAAACAGCTATCTCATCGTATGGCTTCTGCCCGCTGGTCCTTAACTGAGACTGTCCTTTAGCAATCCCATAAACATTGAGCTCCCTCAGGTTGGTAGGATATAGTATCTGGGGGAGAAGACTGCTTTACGCCCAAGGTCAGTGGCCACAGCCAGCTTCTGTCGTGCAGGCAGAACCTGAAGGATGGACGCACAGCAAGTCTCCCAGAAAACAGCTGGCCATTCCCCAAGTGGGATTCCCTCCCGCTCAGGGCTCTGGTCATTAGATCGCAGCCGGTGTCTGTATCATTATCCTCCCCTCCCCTTCTCGTTGCTCCTGTCATCCTATGAAACATTTCCTCCCAGCGAGGGCATTGTGTTCCAGATCTTTTTGCCTTGGTGAGGCTTTTGTTTCAGGCCATCTTTCCAGAAATCGTTAGCGTGGTGTGCACCTTCTGTCCACCATCCCACAGGTATGCTTGATGCTGCCATAAGACGTCCTATTCTATGATTGGCTTACCAGTTCCTTTCCTGGGTGGTAGACCTCCCTGCGTAGCGGCCATAGTTCCTGATTTTGGAGAAAGAAGAGGAAGCTGCAGGGACGTTTAACTCCTAAGTGGGATGGGGGGGAACTCCGGCATGTCCGATGGCTACAGGCTAAAAAACAACATGATTGCAGATGGTCGTTTGGTAGCTCAATGTGGAATAAAGGACTCGGATTTTGTTTTCACTTGCAGGGTGTTGTTTGTTACCTTACACATGGTACTCCTGCTCCTAAGGTCTCAAGGTAGTACTGATGAGAAGTTTTAAAAATTGAGAACATTTTCTTAAGAAGACTTGCCTAGTGAATTAAGAAAATGATGCATTAATATCACTTTTATTTCAGAGAGTTCAAAGGGCTTCCCTTTGGTAAACCTTTGGCTCCTTGAGATACTAGTAGTTGTGTTGACCTTATTTGACAGTCAAAGCTTCTGTGAGGCCACAGCCTGCCATTTAGATATTCCCCCACCCCACCCCCACCATTTAGATCTTGATTCCCACCCAGAATGGCTGCTCCATCCCAAAATGCACCTTTGCTCACAGAGTTCTCCCTACCTAGACTGGGTCATCCTCGAATCCATCCAAATAATGCATATTTCTCAAGGCATAATTTTAGCTCTACTTCTTTCACAAAGCTTTCCTTACACACACTATGGCCTGTCTCCTGGATCACCTTTTCAAAACTAATTTCATCATAAATTCTTATATCATTATTCATCTTTGTGTGTGCATATGGCTTGTTTCTAATATAGACAGAAGGTACCCTGGCCGATTTGGCTCAGTGGATAGAGTGTGGGCCCGAGGACTGAAGGGTTTTGAGATTTTGAATAAGGAAAGGGATTCTTAACACACACAAAAAAAGGCCTTAACCATGAGAATATGTGTGAAAACAAAAGAACTACAAATACGTTCAATATGGATGGATCTTATAAACATAAGGTAAAAAGCAAGTTTAATTCCATTTATGTAAAGCTCAAAAACTGGCAAAACTAAACACAGATCAACTCTAAAGAAAAGCAAGAAAATCATTGCTCTTAAATTTGGGGTGGGGGGAACAGAGATTGTGTCTGGAAAGGAATAAACAGATGTCTTAGTCTGCTAGGGCTGCCATAACAATGGATGGCTTAAACAACAGAAATCTAATTTCTCACAGTTCTGGAAGCTGAAAAGCTGAAGATCAAGGTGCCAGCTGATTCAGTTCCTGGCTGGTAGACAGCTGCCTTCTCACGGAGTCCTCACAGGGCCTTGTCTCTGTGCTTGTGCAAAGAGAGGGTGAGCTCTCTGGTGTCTCTTTCTATAAGGATACTAATCCCATCATGATAGTGGGCACCCCCTTATGACCTCATCTAACCCTAATCACCTCCCAAAAGTCCCATATCCAAATACCATCCCATTGGGGGTTGGGACTTCTAACATGAATATCAGGGGCACACAAAAATTCAGTCTATAGTAACAGAACTTTTGGGGTGATGGTGACTGATATTCTATAACTAGGTAGTAGTTACAGGTGTTCCCTTTTTTCAACCATGCATGTACTTTCTGTATGTCCTATATGACATTTAAAAGATAAAATTATAGGTCTGGGTTAACTCAAGAATTTGCTATTTGCTACCTCTATGATCTTCATAAAGTCTTTCCATCTCTGGGGCTCATATCTACTAGTACCTCATGGGATTGTTGAGAAAAGTAAAATGTAGCATTTAGCCAGTGTCTAGCAGGGAGTACAGGCAATGAATAAGAGTTTTAAAAAGTATGTCTTTCTTTCATTCATTCATTCATTCATTCATTCATCATACATTCGCCAAAGTCTACTCTAAGCTAAGTAAGGACTCCTGAAACACATGAGACACGAAGGCCCTCTGCTGGAGCCATGGAGAAAATCTTTCCCAGGTTGGGTCCTTTTTGTTTCTACCTCATTAACGATGCTGAAAAAAATCATCAGTTCAAAAATATTTTTAATATTATAAAATACTGAGACAATCGGAAATCTGAACATTTGATATCAAGCATTCCCGCTAATTTTTGTTTACCTTCACAGCAACACCTAGAATAATGAATAACTGAAGATTGTAGCCTAGCACATTGACACATAAAATTGACCATCACATCTATGAATTAATTCAAAATGATTTGTAAAGGAGGATGTGGATGGGACAGAACTAGCCAATCCTCCCAATGATTGGACGAGCCAGTTGGGTGTAGCCAACCTATCAGAGTTCTGCTTATGCTTGGTCTGATACTTTGGTTTCTGATGTAAGTAGCTGCTAATGATTATCTTGCTCATTTCCCGAAGCCTACACCACAAGGTAGTCGGGGCTTACTTAGAGTTACCTTACCATTATCATAGAGCAGCGGTTCTCAACCTGTGGGTCTCGACCCCTTTGGGGGTCGAACGACCCTTTCACAGGGGTCGCCTAAGACCATCGGAAAACACATATATAATTACATATTGTTTTTGTGATTAATCACTATGCTTTAATTATGTTCAATTTGTAACAATGAAAATACATCCTGCATATCAGATATTTACATGACGATTCATAACAGTAGCAAAATTACAGTTATGAAGTAGCAACGAAAATAATTTTATGGTTGGGGGTCACCACAACATGAGGAACTATATTAAAGGGTCGTGGCATTAGGAAGGTTGAGAACCACTGTCATAGAGAAATCTGAAAACAGCCTGGGGCTGCTTGGGAAGGGATCTCCAGCTGCTTCTTCAAGGAGAGCTGTAGAGTGAGGAGCACATTCTAGGAAAAGGGAGGCCAACTATATGAAAAGCCGTGAGCCCTGTAGCTATTGCAGAATTGTTGTGCAGGGCCTTGAATGCCAGGCTGGGTAGTTTGGACTTGATTCTGTAGAAGAGAGGATGAAAATGAACATTTGGAGGACTTTAAATAGGGTTGACTTAATCAGATGATGAACTTTAGAAAAATAATTTTGTAACTGGAGAATCCGAAAGTGTTTGCCAAAGTGTGTTCAGTGAATCACTGGGGAGTTTTTTTTTTTTTTAAATATATATATATATATTTTTTTATTGTTTTCAGAGAAGACGGGAAGGAGAGATAGAAATATCACTGAGAAAGAATAATTGATGGACCGCCTCCTGCACGCCCCCTACTGGGGATGCAGCCCGCAACCTGGGCATGTGCCCTCACCAGGAATCTAACCATGACCTCCTGGTTCATAGGTCGGTGCTCAACCACTGAGCCACACCTGCCAGGTGGGGGAGCTTGTTTTTTAAAATGCTGATTCTTGCCCTTCCTCAGACCAGCAAATCAGAGTCTCTGGTGTTAAAGCCAGAAAACCCCATTTTAAAGGTTGTTTTTGTGTGTGCGTTTTTAAGCTAACCTTTATTTGGGGGAAATAAATGTACCAGCCCTAAAGGTAAAGCTTTGAATTTCCACAAGCTGAACACACTCAGGTAACCAACACGCAGAGGAAATTGGCCACCAGCAGCTCAGCAGTCTCTCTTCACCTCCAGCCGCTGCCGCCTACACCGAGGGTAAACACGTTCATTTACTTCTAACAACCAAAGATTAGTTTGCTCGTTTTGAACTTTATATAACTGAAATCACATGGCATACACCCTATGTGTCTGACTTATTTCACTGTTATGTGTGAATGCGTCCATGTTCCGTGTACATATGCTGACTCCATTATAAAGACTTCCATGATTTATCCATTCTCTTGTTTATGGACCTTTGGATAATGTCCAGTTTGGGGCTCTTACCACAACCAGAATGCTGTGAATGTTCTTATTCATGTCTTTTGCTTTGTAAATTATAAAGCAGGATGCCAAGGCCTAAAGACGAAATCATTCGCTACCCACTTGTTGAGCCCCTTAGGAGGCACTGTGCTAAGAAGACGGTCAAGGTGCTGCCCTCATAGAACTTACTTTAGTGGGTGCAAAACTACAGCTAAATGGACAGAAAGATGAGTCAAACAATTGTGGTAAGAACTCTGAGGAAAACAAAAAGCTGATCTAGTAAAGGGACAAGGGGACTGACCCTTTTTATGTGGCAATCATGCTGTATGAACAAAGGGAAGAGCATTTTTTTTGCATTCCTGGCACGGGAGATACCACGTACAAGTCATGGAGAAGGGGAGAGCTTGTCCTATTCAAGACCAGTGTGGCTGAAGCACGATGAAGGGCAACAAGGAGTTGCATGTAGGAGCATATGATGCAGGCCAGAATAAGCAGTTTTGATTTTATTCTAATAGTGTAGAAAGCCATTTAAATGTTTTAAACAGAAAGATGTGATTTTATTTATTGATTTAAAATTTCTTATTGATTTTTGGAGAGGGAGAGAAACATCGATGTGAGAGCAGAACTGAGATGGGCTGCCTCCTGCACACCCCCTTCCAGGGGTCCAACCGAACTAGCGAATCAAACCAGGGGCAACCCTTCAGTGCACCGGCCGACACCCACCCACTGAGCCACACTTGCCAGGGCATGATTTTTTAAAAAGATCCCTCTGACTTCTGAGCAGAGGATAGATTAAATGGATCAATGGAAAAGCAGATCACTTTAGGAGGCTGCTTGGAACAGTCCCAGGAGTATATGCTGGTATAGAGCTTAGAGGAAAACGACTGAAATAGATTTGGGAATTGTCAGCAAAGTAATCACCATCTTAATTAAGTCGTGAATAGTAACACTAACAAGGAGATATCCTGCATGTGTCCTGATACGATGCCATCAAGGGCGCAGCATTTCTACCAAAAAGGCATAAGCTGAGTGCAATCGTGAGGAAAACCACAACAAATCCCTGAGAGACATTCCACAAAACAACTAGCCTGTATTTTAAAATGCCAAAACGTCAGTATTACCAAAGATAAAAGCTTAGGAACGGTTACCGATTAAAAAAACAAAACAGAAAAACTAGACATGGTAACTAAACACAACTTGTTTAGATTGTGGACCAGGAAAAAAAATATATATATATTGCATTTACTCTAACAACTGTAAATGGGGCAATTGATAACATTTAAATAGGACTGCAAATTAAAGGACTATTCGTATTATTTTCTTGATTTTGATCATTTTATTATGTAAGATATGTCTTTGTTTTTAGGAAATAACACATTTAATCGTGAAGCGATAAAGAAACATCATGGCTGCAATTCTCTCTCAAATCGTTCAGAGAACGCAAACATAAAATGTCAACATTCAGCATTTATGGGAATTACCTCTATTAGCTTTGCAACGTGTCTGTAAGTCTGAATTACTCTAAAATAAAACGTTAACAAAATTACTGGAGTCACTCAGGGACAGAAAAAACATATCTAGCACTAAACCATGAGTAACCACGTTTAGACAAAAATCGGGAGAAGGGTGGGCAGTGGAAAGAAAGATGGAAGAATGTTAAAAAAGAGCCAAGTGGAATGTGGACAAAGTTACACGGAGTCAAAGCTTCTGTGCTCTTCACTCTAAACTCCTAAGCGATGACCTTCCCTCCCGCCACTCAGCGCCGGACCACCGAGGGCGAGCTCATTGCCGGCTTCAGCGAAAAATCGCCCAGGCTCCGCCTGCTCCGCCATGTTTTCCCAGTGAGCATGCGCGCGAGTACGCACGCACGCACGCACGCCCCAGCTCTAACCAATCAGCGCCCACGTCGGCGTTCCGTTCAGCGCAGGGGCGGGGCGACTTTCTGCACATGCGCACGGTTGGGTGGGCCTCTTTCCTTCTCGCCGAGCGCCGCCAACATGGTGAGTATCACTGTTGCGGGCTCCGGGGTCTGGCCGCCCCGCAGCTGCACCACCGCCTGAGCGGGGCGCGGAATGGCGCCCAGCGGGCCCTACGTAGCGCAAGGTGAGGGTTCCCGGGCGAAT